AGGGTATCTCGACACTTCATAGTGATCGGCCGACTCTTATAACGCTTATAAACGCAATAAGAAGAATGGGCCGATGGAGGGTGCGCGGCGGTTGCGTTGCTGCGCCGCAATCAAATACCATTTTGCCTGGGGTTTTGGTCCTCTTTTCGGCACACTTGCTGACGACTTCTGAGAACTCTGACACAATCTGAAGAAAGAAAACGAATAAAATCAGAAGAAAAAAGCGAAGGGCTGGGATAGAGCCAAATTGCGCCAAATCGGTGTTGGAATGGGGGCCGCAACGCAACCTCCGCGCACCCTCGATCGTTTTGATTGCTCTTATAAGCGTAATAAGAGTCGGCCGATTATGAAGTATGGAGATACCGTCATTGGAAGGGCGCGCCCTTGCTCAAAACTAGTGCGTCGCGTGTTCGCGATGTTGCAGATAATACAATCCGTTGGCCAACCACAGAGGAACAGACCAAAATATAATGCACAGCTGTGTTTCTCCAATTAGGGTTTAGGCAAAGTCAGCTCTTTTTGAAGCTATGGTGGACCCAATACAGTATCCGGAATGGTTTGAATCCTCCGATCTGAAACCGTGGAAAGCCGTTTTGCTTTATGGGCCACCGGGGACAGGCGGGTAGTTCACAGCTTTATACTATAGCTTTTATCATAGCTACATCTTACAAGCGTAAGATTGAAAGCCAGTCGAACGTTGAATTCACTTTATAGGGAAATCAGTGCTTTCACGAGCTATTGTGCGTGAGACTAACTCTTTGTTATATCAGGTAAATCGCTATGTTTTTTCCCCAACTATCTGAACGTTGTTCCTCTTTAGGTTTCCTCCTCAGATCTGATCTCAACTTGGAGTGGGCAGTCGGAAAAACTTATTCGTGAACTTTTCGACCATGCGATAGCTCAGGGGAAGAGTATGTAATTAGGCTCTTGCCATATTTTTTATTTCAACGCTGCAGCCACTGTTTAATTAAAATCGACCTTTAAGTTAATGATTAAAATTTCTTCAGCTGCTGTAATTTT